ATAAAAAGATAGTGACACTAGACTATGCTCATACTACTCTTAATAATTACTTTAAATATACTTATTATATTTTTACGTAGCCTTAATAAATATCTTATGTCATACGATGCTTAAAGTTAATAAAAAAATAGTGACCACTAAATCATGCTTATACTACCCTTAATAATTACTTTAAATATACTTATTATATTTTTATGTAGCCTCAATAAATATCTTATGTCATACGATGCTTAAAGTCAATAAAAAATCCCTAATAAAAAAATAGTGACCACTAAATCATGCTTATACTACTCTTAATAATTACTGTAAATATGCTTATTATATTTTTTGTAGCCTTAATAAATATCTTACGTCATGACGTTCAAAGTTAATAAAAAATTTCTAATAAAAAGATAATGGGAAATGCTTTTTATATAATTTGATGTTTTAATTTATATGAAACTCATGATATTAAATATATATTTATTTAATGATATATAAAAATTGTATAAAAAATAAAAAAAAATTTATTCTTATGGCATCATCTAAAGATAATAACCATTAAATTACATTTATATTACTTTTAATAATTATTTTAAATATACCAATGATATAAATAGTTTAGTGATTATTTATTTTTACTAAAATTAAAAGATTTTGAATTTGAGTAACCTGATATATAAATTAGGTGAGATAAAAAATAAAAAATAATTATTTTTTATTATATAATTAAAATAAAAAATATAATAATTACTTTAAATATACTTATTATATTTTTATGTAGGCTTAATAAATATCTTATGACACAACGCTCAAAGTCAATATGGTAATGGCAGACTAAAGAGGGAGAGAGCGACGGATGGGATGGGGCATTTATAAAAGTCTCTTTCATCACTCTCCACTTGTCATTCCATCATTAATTTGCCCGGAGGTAACACAGTAGGTTAGGAAAGGAAACTTGGTTTAATTTATTTAGCAGTAATCTCTCAGCCCTGCTACTAAGATGACTTAATTAAAACTTCTTGTTTTCGTCCTTTACTACGTAGGCTTGGGACCATATGTGTCCAGCTTAACCCTGACATGGTGCGTACGTAGTGACGCTTGTTCGGAATTATCCTAACAAGTTGGATAAATGATACTCTTTCCTCTCTAGATCTATAAAATGGGCGCAACTAATTTTGAACAAAAAGGAGTATTTTTTTTTTTTGAAAAATTTTGCAAGGATTGGATTTAAATCATTATTTTTAAAAAAAAATATGCACTTAAATGTGACTTGATGTTATTGGATCGAAAATTCAAGTGCAACAAAAAAAAGTATTATTTATGTTTTAGATAGAATTTATTTTTAATGAAATTTTAAAATTTATATGACAATAATTTTTATTAATTAGTTTTACTTTTGTAATATGTGAATTAATTACAAATATATATACTTAATTTTTTTTTGAACAAATTCACAAGAGGTCGGATTCGAACCGTTGCCCTGAGATGAAGGAATGCACTTATACGTGATCTGATGTAACTGGGCCCAAAAGTTCAAGTGCACTTAATATTTTTATTTTAAATTATATAATAAAAAGTAATTTATTCTACTCACATCTCATATAATATAAATTTAAAATTTATTATTTTGAGTAAAATAAGATTATCACTAAATTAATATTTAATTAAGTATAATTTTTTTTGTTTTATAAAAAAGATATAGATACATAATTTAAGTTGTTAAAAGGTCAAAGCACATGAATTTACAGCAATTCAGTAATGGAAAAATAAATGTTTTCAAAATAAAAAATACGTTGGGTAGTTTATATCATATTCAAATGCACAATAATATTTAATGAAGTGAGTTATTAAATAACTTTTATTTTTTTTATACTAATCTCTTATATTTGGTAATTATATTGAATCCGATCAATCCAAAATCTAATCACATTGGATTCATTTCGGGAGAAATTGTTTTAATATTTATTTTTTCATTCATAAGATTTGAATTCGAAGTCTTATTTAAGAGGAACTGAATTTTTTCTACTTAGATTAATAAATCATTGATGAATAACTATTATCTTATAATTTAATGTAATTTAAACTTTAAAATATAAGATTTTTTCAAAATATAATTTCGAAGTTTCAGTCTTTGGTTTCAGTCATCTATGGGCACAAGAGGTGGCCCCACACCAAGAAACTTCTATTTCTACCTAACCATGCTCAATTGACAATTGGTCATAAATGTTGAAAATTCTGCTCCATAATTGCAATGAAGAAATTAGTAGGTCCAAGTGGAATTTAAGGACAATCCAAACTCTTCACTCTTGATCCTCTTCCCCCGTGTATAAAACGTGTTTTCTTAGTATAAGTAATAATTTATTAAAACATAGATTTGAACATTTTTAAAGTGGATTGATGGTGATGGCATTTTTTTCCCCCCACCACTCTTGCTCTTGCCCCCACCCTCCATTGCAATTGCCAATTGACATTTTTAGCTAAGAGCCTGAAATTAATTCCAGAGAAACAAATCTAATCATTGACATTATTTAGGGAAATTACTGCACCAAAAAAGAAGGGGGGGTGGGTAATTTAGGATGCCAAAGTTGGTATTCTCACAATAAAAATTTATAGGGAGACTGATTACAACTCTCTAAATACAGTTTCCATTTTATTTTCTTAAACTATCACGCTTAATGTCAGGAGTAGTTTAACTGTTTTTTAATTAGTTGTAATTAACCTAAGTTAGTTAGAATGTAGAGTAGTTATACATAGGATAAAAAGTGAAGAAAAAAATTGAGAACCAATGACAATAACGTAATATTAGTTAAGTTTAGTTTAGAATTATATATTAAAAGTATAGTTTTGATACTAAAGCTATTAAATTATCCTTAATAAATAAATGTAAGAAAAGTAAAGAGAAATTGGAGGATATTGTGTGTCTTCCCTACGTTTCCTTCAAATCAAATGAGAGCCAAGGATTTGTTTGGTTTAAGAGAAGGTGAGGAGAGGGAAAAGGAGAGGACGAGAGATTATTCCATCTAATCCAATCAAAGAAAAGAAAATGAAAGGAAAGAAAAAGAAGAGAAAAAGATATCATTTCATTTAATTAAATTAAAATATTAACTAAACATTTTAATTTGCTTAGACCACATTACCTTCCCTCCCCTCTAAATTCCCCGAGTCAAACCGGTTTTAAATGCAGTTAATAGAAAAATTGATTTGATAAAGAACATAGGTTGGTATGTATTTTGATTTAATGTATTATTTAATAAATATATTAAAAATATTTTTTATATAAAATTAAAAAAAT